AAAAAAAAATTGAAATTGGAAAAAAAATAAAAATTGTTGCAACTTTCTTTCCTAGTAAATTTGTTTGCTTCTCGAAGCATTGATCCATCCTTTGCAATGTCCAGTAATCAGCGGTTGTGCTGCTGAGTTGGGCGAACGTTCAAAAAGCTGCTATTCAATCGCTTGTTTTGTATGGAAAAAGGTTTCACATGCAAATGGATTTTAACAATTCAGAATTTTTGTGAGAAAAAATTAAAAATATTTGACATTTTCGAGACCAAATAATTTGAAAATAAACCAAATCAGCTGCTCTACTGATACTACCTGTTCAATATACCTTGGCCGTATGCATAAAACTTATGTAAGTAAATGCTTTTTCTTAAAATTTCAGACCTTTCCCTCGATTTTTCAAATAAATTTAAGTGAAAGGTATGAAATTTTAGGTAAAAGCAATTGCTTAGTTTTTATGCATGCGGCCCAATATCAAATAATACAAGTGGAAGTCTCTTTACTTTCATCAAATTACAAGTTTCGTTCCATGAAAATTCCTAGACTAGGGCCGACAAAATTTCAAAAAATGTTTCTGGGATGGAAAGTGAAACCAGGGCTCGAGTCGTAACTGTCGTGTCGCAACTCTTTCACGACTGTTACGATTCAAACCCTGATTCTTATAGGATATTTTCCGTACAATCAGAATCTGAAATTAGAAATATGTATTAGATTGGCTTGTTTTGGAGATATTTTGACTTAAAATTGGCAAAATACTCACTTTTTGCATTTTTTTTAGACTATACTTAACACAAACATATCCTTTTCGATTCGTGAACGGATGTTACGATTCAAGCCCAGGGGTCGAATCGTAACAGTCGTGAACGGGCAACTCGCCACCACTGTTACAATTAAATCCCAGGGTTTAACTTTCTTTACATCTTATTAAAAATATTCCATCATGTAGATACTGTTTTTATATTACAACGGTTCAAAATATGCTAAAATAAATCGTTTTTTGACACTTTAGAGCCAATCTGAAATTTCAGAATCTGATTCTGCCCAGAAGATAATTTTGGTAGGCCTTCTTAAGTAAAGCCATTCTAAGAGACCTAGCCAAGAAGGGCTAAAAAAGTGCTTCTTTGCATGCCTTCTAGAAGGGCTTAACCATTTATAATTTACGCGAATGCATAAATTTATATTATTTAGCATTACAAATGAATTTCAATAAACATTTTAAGTTGCAACAACACATAATTAATATAAACCGTAAGCAAATATTTCAAAGATGTAAGATTTTTATAAATCAAAGAAGCAACTTTAAAAGAACTTCTCCAAATGGCCTTCTGAAGTACGAACTATAAAAGCCCTTCTGAAGTACGTACTATAAAAGCCCTTCTGGAAGGCCTTCCATGGGTAGCGAAAGAAGAAGCCCTTCAATTTATGCCACTCCATACAAAAACGAAAGGAGAAACGAATGTAGAGTGGTAGGCCTCTTGACTCTCAGGAAGGCCTTTCGAAAGGGCTTTTAACTCCTGAAATTATCTACTGGGTGCGCACAAAAATTTATGCGACTCGGCTCTAATTGACTCCGCAGCAAAATTTCGTTGGCCAGGGTAATGCTTATATTTTTTCGAAGGATTGCACCATCGCCAAATTAAAAACTCTGTACGTTGAAAACTAATTTAAAATAGTTTGCAACAACTTTATTGACATTTACTATATGCATAACTTTTTTCAGCTAAAACAAACGCGGCTCGCTGATAACTTCTGCTGAACCATCTACATTTTGTTCAATTTCAATCGAATTTATTCGTATCATTGTATTTGGAGAGCGCTGGAAATTGATACGCATATACTGTTTCCTGCGCTTCTTTTTGAAATGGGTTTTCGTGTGTGTCAAAGTTTTCTCAATAATTGTAGCGCTCACGTTAACCAAACCCTGAGGTAGCAAAGGCCGACCTATCAATGTAAAATCTTTTGCTCCCGCTAACAGTACTTTCTCTAGACGAATTTCATCGCCAGTTGTTGGTGGCCAATAGCCTTCCACCAGAATTATGTCTCCAGTAGTAATCTTAAATTGTTTACCACACAAATGCACAATCGCAAATAGACGTCCCTCCTTTCGAGCTGCTACTTGTGAATTAACTTTATTGAAGACTTCTTGGCATTCTTTTTGTTCAATTTGTGAAGTTTTATCGCTTCTGTTTTCTACTGCCGCGGCATTTACTAGCGAAGGTTTTTGTTGTTGCGCAAAGCGCGATGTGATGCTCAGCGAACGAAATGTGTCTGCAGTTGATATTAAATGAAACTTTGTAGAAAGATGGAAACGAATGCACTTACGTGTTAAGCTATTGACAAGGACAGGTTGACGCACCACCGAAAACAATCCTTTGGCTAGAAACTCCATATTTTCGTTATTGAAGAAATATTCCTGAACTATTGCACAAACGCTGCATTCTAACCAAAAAAAATCCACTCCAATTTGACAACCAGCTGATACAATTCTTCTTCTTTACTCATTGCGCAGGTGCAGAAAGGCGTACAAGGTATTCACAATGGCGTGCTGGTATGTGCAAATACACTTGATTCTCTTTTTACACGGTTTTGTTTTACACAAGCCTTATTCATAGCGATAGCGATAGTAAAAAACCAAATACTGGCAAGTGTTTTGTTTTTGATACACAAATGTCAAATTTCAGAGGGAAAGAAATTCCGAACACTCTAATTTTCTCACTCACTCTAGCGAGATAAGAAGTAACCTAACTTTTAAATTTTACAATTTACAAATAAGGCAAAGAAATGCATGCCCCAGTGCTTATTATTTTTTCACCAAAATTTTAAAATGCCAAAATGTGGAGGTGGGATATTTGACAAATGAGTAACCTTATTTTTAATGCAAATTTAGGACTGCACTGCAATTCAGAAGAGGACCTTCAAAATACAGCTAAAAAGGGCCTATTTAAATTTACAACAGAGGGACTGTTCCAAAGTGCTCATTTACACACGGCGATTTTTGTTGCCGCAACTCGACGTTTGTAGGAGAGAGCGTGACGAGGAAAGGAGAGGGGCACCGAGTTGCTCGTGCTCGGGCAACACGCTTTGTGCTCTCGTTCGTCTGTTTAAATTGAACCGCTGTTCACAGCTGACAACAACAATTGTATACACACAAATCGCCGTGTGTAAATGAAACGAGCAACACCAAAAGGGAATGTGAAAAATCGCGGCGACAAAAGTTTTCGTGTATAAACGCAGTCTAAGAAATACAATTCTTAGCTCAAATTCAGGAGAGACTTTGTTCAGAAATGTAGGTAATGGCATATAGCGCGTGTTTCTTTATTCATTCCGGATCTGGAATAGAATAGTCGTAGTTTATCCGGAATAATGGGAAAAACGTAATAGAATATAATAAAATTATTAGGTGTATTGTGGAACGATTTGCCGTCATCCCTTGTCAAATTTGACAGTGAAGATGGCACAACACCAAAACCGGTTTGTCTCCAAACCAACTCTGACAAAGGATGTCAGCAAATCGTTCCACAAACATTATACTCCTACCCCGTCGGAAACGCAAACAACCACAAAGAAGAAACTATTAGGCAGCAGCTAGAATAAGTAAAAAAAATGTATTCCGAACGTTTGGAATGAATAAAGAAACACATCCATAAAGAATTTCTGCAAAGGGACCGCATGAGAATTCTGAGTAGTAATGCGGCAGTTCATTAGGCAGAAGCTGCTTAGAATCATTGGACTGTAGCTACTTAGAGCGAGTGTGATCTAATTTTGTGTCTAGCGGCTTGATAGTTTTCCTTGTCGGACACTCGACGGAAGAAAGGAAATCTGACCAGAGGCTCTCCAATATCGAGATTTATTTCCGGCCGGGTATGTATGTACATACATTAGGGTGGTCCAAAATAATTAAGGTCGGAATTTGAATGCTCTCAACCCCTAACATTATTGTTCTATATCAAAAAAATAAACCCCTATTCTTTATTTCGAAATAAAACGCTAAAAGTTGTTCATGTAGTTTATATAGAAACAAGTAATTTTTAGGCAAAAAATAAAACCGGCTTCAATTCTTATATAAAAATTTAAGATTATCGTTCACTTATTCACGATCCAATTATCAGATCTAAACAAAATTAGTATGGGACCACCCTTAAGGTACCACCTTTCCGATGAGAATTATCGAAATCGGTTAACGTGGTAAAAAGTTATGCGGTAACATACATAAAAAAAATATTACGACGAATTGGTAACCTTTCCCTTTTTGTGAAGTCGGTTAAAAAACAACTTTTCGTTGAAATTGTATAGAATTCTTGAAAATCAATATTTTTCGAACGGAAAACTGTGGTTCTCTTCAAGAGACTTCCAATAAACATACACAATTGTTCCCAGTAGGATAATTTAAGGAGTTAAAAGCCCTTCCTGAGAGTTAAGAGGCCTTCCACTCTACATTCCTTCCTCCTTTTGTGTATGGAGTGGCACAAATTGAAGGGCTTCTTCTTTCGCCACCCATGGAAGGCTTTCCAGAAGGGCTTTTATAGGACGTATCTCAGAAGGCCTTTTGGAGGAGTTCCTGTGAAGTTGCTGCTTTAATTTATAAAAATCATACATCTTTGAAGTATTTGCTTAAGGTTTATATTAAATATGTGTAATTGCAACTTAAAATATTTATTGAAATTCATTTCTAATGCTAAATAATATAAATGTATGCATTAGCGTCAATTTTAAATGGAGAATCCCTTCTAGAAGGCATGCAAGGAAGCACTTTTTTCAGACCTTCTTGGGTAGGCCTCTTAGAATGGCTTTACTTAAGAAGGCCTACCTAAATTATCTTCTGGGTTTATTTTATTTATCCCCAATTCCATTTTCTGGGGGTTTTGCCAGACCTATAAAATATAGCTACTATGAAAAAATAGTTTAATAAATAATTGGGTAATATTATTGAGAATCTCCTGAAGAGAAAAAGAGTTTGATTTTCAAGAATTCTATACCATTTATACGACAAGTGTTTTTCCCCCATATAAAATACATGGGAAACTTCCAGCGCTTTGAGCGACCTCTAAATATTTTTTGATCTCAAAATAAAAAAGAGGGGTATATTGTTGTCTGTATAGAACAATCCTCAATGTTAGGCTTCCACGACAGTCGCCGTTGATCGCCCACCTAGTTACCTGGTTCAGGTAACCTTGAGCCAAATCAAAATGGGTGTCATCTACAGAGACGATCAACCGACATGCCACTTTTTCCAGTTTCTCTAGAAGGTCGTGGCAGTGATGTCTGTAAGCTGTAGATAAGCCTTATTACGTTGGTTTTAACCCCCAGATTATGAATATATTTACTTGACTACTCTGACCCTCTGGAGTGACATTGTTGAAGGCTCCCTCGATATCGAAGAAGGCCCCTACTGCGTAATCTTTATTTGTGAAGGATTCCGCTGACCACTTTACCAATGTGTGCAGGGCGGTATTCACGAACCTTTTCTTGCAATAAGCATATTGAGCTCTTGAAAGGCAGTCACGAGGAATCGCGTTTCTTATGTACACGTCTATCAGTCCCTCTAACGTTTTTAGCAAAAACTAAGAGAGATTGATTAACCTAAAATACGTAGGGGAAACATGTGCGTATTTTCCGGCCTTCGGAATGAACGCAACACTGACTACCCTCCAAGCCTTGGGGATGTAACCGGTCCTCACGTAGTTCTCATAAATAGGATCAAACAAATTGCAAGACACCATCAGAGCCTTTTGCAGCTGCGCAGGTATGATGCCATCGGTCCCCGACGACTTTAATGCTTTCAAAGAATATATCTTTCAGGCCATGTGACGATTGTCCAGAAGATCGGATAAGTACAGGACTTAAGGGGAGATTCTAAAACTAGTTAGCGACAATTTTCGATTCGCTATCGCACTTTTTGACGCAAAACCGTTGTGCTTATGCCAGAGCTATTTCTTAACTGAGCATCATGACATTTACATGAAATTAAGCTAATAGATGCAGCCAAAGACATGGGCGATGGCACATTTACGGAGACAATTGCTGATTGTGTATTTATAATTGTCATTATGGCCGCTGTAAGCGAGTAGTTGGTAATGCGTCAAGACGCACACGGAGGAGAAGCTCGGCCAAACACTTAGAAAAGCGCCAGAAGTATTAAACTTTTTAGTAATTGTCTGAGCATAGTAGACTTTGTTTTTAATAAAAAAACTACATACAGACTCATAAAAAAGGTTTCGATAAATTTGTTATATAGAGATTGAAATGGCTTCAACTTTCAAATTAAGGCTGCGAAAATTGTTAGTTACAAGATTTCACTATATAGAAATTCGTTATATGGAAAACAAAATACACTAAAATTAGATGGAAAAATCAACATTCGCAGCAGAGAAGACTTCGTTATTCAGAAGTTCGTTATAGCAAAGCTTGACTGTACATGCACATACATACATATGTATGTAGAATTGCGCCTAGAATAACCCTGCAGCAATAAGGCGGCCAATTTTCCGTAAAGGACCAGTACTTCACTGGTTAAAATTTGACTGGTCAGAATTGGACATTTGCTTGCGATCAGTCTCCAAGGAATCGGTCTAGAGATAGACGAAAAGTACAGTTTGGCAGTGACAGGGTGGTGTCGTCTTGCAATTCAATAAAAAAAAAATTTAAAGAACACCACCCTGTAAATGTCCCAATCGCTTGGTCTGGCTTTGATTCAAAGTGAACATTTGAACACACATGTACATGCGTGGCTGTGACTCAGTGCGCAGATATGCTTGCCATTATTTGTTAGCTTTCAGGAGGGTCCGGCTTTAAATGCCGTTAGAGGCAACATGGTTATAAGATGATACAAATTTTTTTTTGTGTTTCCGAAATATGAAAAAACATCTGAGAAGTGCAAAACGCAATCTTACTCCAACGAAAAAAATCTCCAAAATTGGACTAGTCCAGGACTATCTTACGGTCAGTGTTGATTGGTGCGGTCCTTTTCCAATGACACGCAAATGCTAAAAATGGCAGTTGAAACCATTGGCAGGGGAATTATGAGGGACTAGTGCTGGTAACAATAGGGACTATCTGAGGGCTAACCCAAGGTGAGTCTGAATTGCTGCAGGGAAGTGATAAACATTTTTGGCAATAATATTTTCTGTTAACAAAATGTTCGACATCGTGCAGAATAGGCATGCTAGTTGGAGCATTGACCATCAATGGGCTGAAAAAAGCTTTTTATACAAATTTAGGTGCAAATGTATGTAAGTATGCACATATGTGTATGTATGCGGTATTGTGCGTTACCCACTGGGAAAATAGGTAAGCACCTTCCGAGGTAAGCCATGTTTTCTTTCAGTTTTTAGTACCAAAATTGTCATCATGGCTAATGTCATCTACTAGTAAAGGGCAAAATGAACACCTCCGAAGACACATTACGTTGTCAGTTGCAAAATAACGTGCAGCCGAAGTTATTTCCAAGCACCGAACTACTCCGAGCGACTGCTCTGCATTACACGTAACTTACTTTGTATAGCGGCTCA